CCAGGCAGGAGCCGTATTTAAAAAAAACCAATGAAAACCAACTGGTCTGGGTTCAGGTCGCCTCACGCCGCGCTTTCTCCAGCCGGTGTTGGTGCTGGGAGCGGTGGCCGCCCTTGCTCCCGAGGGGCCCGCCCGTTCCGCCACCTGGGCGGACCCTGCGAGGTTCGGGTTTGCGGCTCTGGAGGGGTTTTGGAAAGCGTTGGTGCCCCGCTGCCGTCTGGCTGCTCGTCTTTCAGACTGCTCCTTCTCTCGCTAAGCCGCGTGTCTTCAGGTCAGGCCTGCAGGCGAGAAGAACCGAAGTTGGTGCTTACGGCATGTGGTAACGCTTGGAAAACTTTCGTCCGAGAAAGAATCACAGAATGTTCGGGGTTGGCAGGGACCTCTGTGGGTCATCTAGTCCAACCCCCCTGCCGAAGCAGGGCCACCTACAGCAGGCTGCACAGGACCTTGTCCAGGCGGGTCTTGAATATCTCCAGAGAAGGAGACAAAGCAGCTTATTCTGACTTGCCAAGGGAGCAGATCAAGTGACATTTTGCAAGTTAGTGAAGTAGAATGCAGCAGCTAAAATGAACATTGAGCTGTCAATCATCTGCGGAATTACGAAGTGGTGAATATTTAAGTAGGACTTATTTTCCCAGTGTTTAATCTCAGGCCTTTGGCTTTCAGGTTCATCTTTAACTTGATGGCTTTGGGACAGAAGACCGAGCAGTCCTGTCAGTGATTTAAGATTGAGATATTTACTTAATTCACAGAACGAGCCCGTTGCCCAAGATACCGGCGTAGTTCACAAACTTCACAGAGTGACTGGAGCAGGCAGGCATCACCAAGCGGAAACTGACAGGGAGGTTGGAGCTGGTGAATCGCACTTCTCCAGTTTACTGAATTAATAAGTTTCCTTCTCAGAACTGAAGATTTCACGCATTTCTGGCAAATCACTAGCAGGAGGAATACAGGGGCTATTTTTTTTTTTTTCTAAGGAATTAGCTGGTCGTTTATTAACTTACCTGATAAAAACACTTCTCTGTACCTTGATACTAGAGCTTCAGTTTTCCACTGAAGGAACCGTCAAAGAAAAACTTTGAAGAAAGTCACTTTCATGTTTGAGGAAGATGCACACTGTGCAAAGGTTATAATTCTGCAGGCAAAGTGAACTGACCTGCGTATTCTGTTAGACTGCACATTTTCAGAGAGCAGCTTGTCAAGGGAAACACATCTGGTATTTGGCAGTAACAGGCAGGGGCTGCAGACTTCTACCCCTGTTAAGGACAAAGGGTTGTTTTGCTGACCATCTGCCTCCGATTTATCAATCCAGAATTATCTCAAAGCAGAGGTGATTATAACACTGAGTGGAGTCTCCTCGGCATCCTATTAATAAAGCTTTTCCTCCCTTTTAGAACACTTAAGAAATTGTCTCCTCTTACCTTGCTTTCTCATACTGTCAGGAGAAGCTAACCCCTGCTAAAATGTACAGCTGAAAGCCAGGAGTTTGTAATTCCTGACTCTGCCACGTGGAAAGCACTTCTGTGTGAGAAAAGCATGAAGTGACTCCCCAGCACTCTTGTGTTTCTTATTTGATATTCTTAAGATCATTGGATAGAAGAGCCTGAGTGCGTGTGTGTTTGAATAGCCAGGAGATGGTATGACCTCTTGCCATTTTTCTTGTTGCCTGTCCATGTAAATATGGTAAGAATGAGGTGGGAAAAGGGAGATGTTAATTTTTCGAGGACTTTTTGGCAACTGATCAGTGATTGTGTAATCATAAATGCATAATCGGTGAAGCATCTCTTATAAATGTAGTTGGTATTGATATTTTTTCTGAAGAGTAGAGGGTCTTGCTTTGCCATTGCAAATGATCAGCAACAGATGAAGTGTTAAGAGTGCAAGTCCAAGCTTGGTTTAAACATTTTTTATGATTCAGTTGTTTTTATGTTATGGCCATAGCTAAAATAAAAAAAATAATTTTAAAAAGATGGATAAAGAAATGTTCACCTGCAGACCCAACACCTTGTTAAAGCTATACTGCTGCTGTCGAGGGGCAGTCTGGCATTTCTTATTTGCCGGATTAGCGAGGCAACTTGGATGAGAATAGCGCCGTGCTTTTCTTCAGGAAATATCTCTGGTTTTCCTTTCAGCTAGCTTTGTTGGAATAGGTCTTGTGGGCACGGCAGAATCTTTAATCTTCAGGTGCAAGGTTAGATGTAAAGTAAAAGATTGCAGAAGGTAAGCTCCTAAGTTTTGAGACTTTAAAAACAGCTAGTGGAACCATGTTTTAATGTCTGTTTTCCACAATTATTACATTACAACTCTGTTAGTTCAAGAATTCTGAAAGTGAAGACAGGCTGTTGCTGACTAACAAGAGAAACAAATTAATGAATAGTGAAGTAACAGATAACGAAGAGCTGATTTTTAATATGCTGTTGCAATGTGAGAAAGTGACCGTATATGTTTGAAATTAATTGCATACCAACCAAAAAGACAACCCAATAGTGCTGTCTGTAGGTGAGCCAGCGTTGGTTCAAAGTTAGAGTGACAAACTTTTCACTGTTACTCCCAGCTCCGCTGTCACCTTCCCGTTGTTGCAGGGACATGCTCGTGGCCTAACAGCAGAGTTGTGTTACGCCTCGTCCCGGGAACACAGGGTTAGCCATCGCTAATGCCACCCACTCACTTCACTAGCATTCCAGTTTTGGTCTCCACAGCCCTTTTTCCTTCCAAGAGCCAAGGATCACAACTAAGCCACTTGCTCTTTTCAAGACAGCTGTTTGTTCTCTAGCCATAGCTGCAGAATTCAGCTGCCTCCAGGCACAGGTAGCGTTCTGCAGACAGATCGGGGGAAGTACTGATGGATTTTTTCCTTTTACCTCAGGTTGAGTTGGTTATCCCTCCCCCTCAACTGTGTGCAGGTTTTTGTGATTTTTCTAGTAAAGTGCGTCATTCTAGATTCAGCGTTCTTTAGGTCTCTTTTGCCTAGTTTTTTGCCTAGTGTATTGTCTGCCCCAACACAAATCAATATGGTTGGTTGCTTTATGGTCTTGATGTGGAATCTTTTTTTTTTCAACTTTCAGGTTGCAGCAGCCAGTGGTCACACCGTGGTGTGCCTAACAGCAGAGTTGTGTTACGCCTCGTCCCGGGAACACAGGGTTAGCCATCGCTAATGCCACCCACTCACTTCACTAGCATTCCAGTTTTGGTCTCCACAGCCCTTTTTCCTTCCAAGAGCCAAGGATCACAACTAAGCCACTTGCTCTTTTCAAGACAGCTGTTTGTTCTCTAGCCATAGCTGCAGAATTCAGCTGCCTCCAGGCACAGGTAGCGTTCTGCAGACAGATCGGGGGAAGTACTGATGGATTTTTTCCTTTTACCTCAGGTTGAGTTGGTTATCCCTCCCCCTCAACTGTGTGCAGGTTTTTGTGATTTTTCTAGTAAAGTGCGTCATTCTAGATTCAGCGTTCTTTAGGTCTCTTTTGCCTAGTTTTTTGCCTAGTGTATTGTCTGCCCCAACACAAATCAATATGGTTGGTTGCTTTATGGTCTTGATGTGGAATCTTTTTTTTTCAACTTTCAGGTTGCAGCAGCCAGTGGTCACACCGTGGTGTTAGTAGACCAGTCAGATGAAATCCTTAAAAAGTCTACAAAAGGAATTGAAGAGAGTTTGAAGAGAGTGATAAAGAAGAAATTTGCAGATAAGCCTGAGGTTGACTTCTTCTTCTTTATACCACTGGGAAAACTTAGGAGAATAAAACTACCATTCTGAAGTTCTGATATTGTTTACAGTTATGCATTGTAAAGCCTGTTAATATACTGGCTTAAAAAGAAAACTTTTTCCATTGTGCTGAAGAACTTGGGTTTTGTTTTTTTTTTTTTTGATTCAGGGAGGTTGAAAGAGCCTCATCACTTGCTTCTGCTTTGATATGAATGCCTACTTATTTTGCAGTTCACTGGCATATCTGAAGAAGAACTTGGGTTTTGGTTTTTTTTTTTTTTGATTCAGGGAGGTTGAAAGATGTCTTACCTTATTTTCTTTCCTTTGTAGACTTTATCTTTGAGATAAAGATTTAAAACAATTTGTTGATGTTTTAAAACAGATGCTAAATGTGAAATGGTGCCAAATTGTTCGTCGTAACTTAATAGCAAGCTACCTTTGAGCATTTACCTGGGAACGCACCAATTTTGTCCAAAAGCCAATAGTTACAAAATTGTTTTAATATTTCATAAGGAGGTTTTTTGTTTTTGTTTTGTTTTTTTTTAAAGACTGGGCACAGGATTGCTGCAAAAGAAATTAAAGTGCAAATTAAATGTATAAGATACTTTGCATTTACATTACTGAGTTGAAACTTACATACAGCAAGTTACTGCGGAGGACTTGATGCATCTAAATTTATATCCTAAGGGTTATTTGCTCTTCTGCCTGTTTCTCTAAATTGCACAGCAGATTCAGTTCTTGTTTTGGAACATATTAACATCTGTAATATATACTGATATTGGTGATTACCAGCATGAATGATGAAGCAGATGCAGGAAGTGACAAAGGGCTTGTTTGCTTGAGGGAGTACAGAATAAAAATCACTGTAATATCAGGAAAACCAAAGCAATATAATTTCCTGTACGTAATTATTGGGAGTCTTTTAATCCAAAAGAAAATGATCCACATGATGCTTGTACTTTATATATGACATTATATTCTAGCGTGCAGGCATGTTTTTACTTGTATTACATCTCCATTTACTGTTGGTTTGAAGTCTTGCAGTTCTGTTTGATTTCTGTCCTCACAAACTGTGTCAGTGATAGGCAGATTTTCTAGTTAGAAAACAGAATAATTTTTACCCACATTTCCACTGAAACTGTATGGAGTGTAGGCCATTTCGTTTCCTGAAGTATTCACAAACAAGCATATATCTGTTCACAGGAGTGAGACCAGATAATCACCAAATGAAAACAATGCAAAGGTCTGAAACTGGAAAAGTTCCTCTTTATGGAGGGCAGGTCTAGGTTGTCTCAGAAACTACTGATTGACCGACCAGTTGTTCACTCAGACTCTTCTGCTGAAGGTTGGACTACAGCAAATAGTCTTCCTAAAAGAATGAATTCAAAGATCTGCTGTTTGCTTCAAAGCAGATTTTATTGGCTGGGAAAATTTTGTTAGTGAAAGCCTCGTATCTGTATATACTTGGAACCTTCTCACTGATTTGGAAATGTGGCAGACTGTCCGAATTTTTGAGGGCTCAAAAACAGTTTAGAGCAAGTAAGGGAATTCTCATGTAACAATAAATCAAATCATTGTGAATAGACATTGCAACTTCTTGGAAATGTTTCAGGCTGGTGCTGAGTTCGTTGAGAAGACCTTAAAGAACCTCACAACAAGCACTGATGCAGTAGCGGTGGTCCACAGCACAGATCTGGTGATAGAAGCCATTGTGGAGAACCAGGAAGTTAAAAATGAACTCTTCAAGAGGCTGGATAAGTTTGCTCCAGAGTACGTGTATTTTTCCTGTTATGTTTTGCAACTTAGACCTTTATATCTTCTGTTTTTATTGTTCCACTGCTAGTTCTGCATTGTCTTAGATTTTTTTTTTTTTAAACCAGGAGTTTTTCTCACTTAGACTAACTCCAGACTAGCATGTGGTATGGAATAGGTGTTGTGCCAGGTGCATATGCTGCAAACACTTTCAGGTGTATTCAGCCAGATTTATTTACTTGGTTGCATTACTTCATTTGATGTGCTTCCGGGTATGCGTAGTCGTAAGGTTTGTCCATCTACTCAGCAAGTTCAAATCCAGATGGAAATGCACAACAGTAGAATAAGCTTGCCCTGGTACACATGGGGTATGGCCAGCATATGTGTCCCCATATTTAAATAGGGAATTGGGGTGATAATATATTTGTTTTCAGCACGTGTGGCATGAACAAATTTTAAGAAGTCTCAACCTCTGTGCTGTAACTCACAGTCAGCTCAAAAGTGGTTTAAGTGAACAAAGTTTACTTGGTATTAGCTGAGTTTGGAAAGCGCTCATTGCTGGTTGTTGTGTGTGAGGTAGAAGTGTAAATAATTTCTTAGCGTGCACTCTATTACTTACAGTCCCTGGAACTTTCTTTGAACTGTATTTGATAACTGTTGGAAGTTACTGTTGAATTATATCCAAACCCCAAAATGCTGTTAAGCTGAGCATGCGGCCTCGGAAGGTTGATCCTTGTAATGGATGACTCAGCATCACAAGACCTAGACTTCTTACAGGTTGAGGTTTTAACTAGTGCAGCTAAATCTGAGGGTATTGATTAAGAGGTATTCTAGACCATGTTAACTAAAGAACCAGGCAAACTGCAGCTTGAATATAAGGTCAAGGGAGAAAAGACGTTATCATCAGTTGACTTCAGCCTGGGGAGATTTTCAGTTTCTCTCGTATGGTCAGTAATCAAAATTATCTGGTACTTCTGAAAACAATAAATGATAACAAACAGCCATGCACTTGGGCACAGGGTAACTTGCCATTATCCTTAGTCTGACAGACAAAAGCAAGTAGGTGCCTTCGGCAATTAGCAGGATACATTGTCATGATTAGATTGGGCTTATTTTGTGAAAACGGAACATTGGTTGCCTGAACCTTTGTTTCTATCAAGCAAAGAAAGCTAATGAGCAAATTAGAGTGTACTAAATGGCAAACTGTCTAGAACCAGGCAGCAAGGAAAAGTGGGCACAGGGACTTAGAGCCTCATTTAATAATATGTGTATTTGGAACACCTGAGGCTATTTTTCATAAGACTGAGCTGTTTATAAGCTTGGGTGCCTTAAAACATAAAATTTTACATTACAGATTGTTAAAAGATACTGGGAGCTCTTCTTCCTGTGGTAAAAGGCATGATTTTGCAGGGTTGGGAAAAATGACATTCAATAAAAAGCCTTCCTTTCTAAGAGAAATTATGAAAAGTATACAGATACCTTACATGTAGGGTAAAGAAAAGGGAAGTGAATGGTGAAGAATGAGTTGAGGTGTAGGAAGTCTGAATGGAATGAAAGAAAAGCTAGTAATATAGTGCAACTTAGTAACCAGGTGTTTAAAATATTAGCTAGTAGATACAAATGGTAATTTGTAATTATGTGAGGAATATAGAGTTGCAACTTGTGTGAGTAGCATGGGGAAAGGCAGAAATGTCTAGTGAGTTTTTCTGTGCATTAGAAGGAAGCAGCAGGCTTTATTCATCCCACATGGCAAGGCGGTGGAACGGAAAGCTCTCCCTGTCAGTGCAGGCATCCTACAGCCTTCACTCAGATTCAGCGTTCCAGAATTTCTAAAACTGTTATGTGGACTAACTGTTGCATCATCTTAGTGGAGATGGTGGACTTATGGTTCATTGGTAATGAAGACAAGATTTGTTTAAAGATAGCTTTGAGTGTTGGGAGAGGCTTTGCTTCTGTGGGGCCCTGGGCATTAGTGGCACGGTGAAGCATACGTTATAGGCAGAGATCATGAGAGACCAGGCTTCAGAGGAAGGAGGGCTTGTCTTAACTCTAACCTCAGGACCTACCGTGGGGGTAGCTGATAGCTGATCGAAACGTAGGGGGCTGTGTATCATAGTTGATCAGACAAGATGATGAATTATGCCTTTGGAACATAAGCGGTGTGAAACCTTGCATTTTTCTTCTGTAGTACTGTATCCCGTGTCTTGTGTTTCCTCAGCTGCAACAGCTGCGTGTTCGTCTCCCCTTCTTGCACCATGATGACCTCCCCAACGAAGATAAGTCCGGGGATGGCACAAAACCAAAGCCTTGCATTACAAGAACGAGATGTAGTTAACTTACTTCCTTTTTCTCTATAAAAGAACTATAATTCCTCTGAAAGTGGACCTATAAATGGTCGGGGACGGAAGGCTGTTCTTTATTGAGAGAAGTTTTATTTGGGGGTGGGGAGTGAATTTCATGTAAATTTTCAGAGAAAATGTAATGAGCGGGGAGAATTTGGCAACCCCAGGGAGCCTTGGGAGCTCAGGGTATTACTTATCTGGGTAACTCTCCAGGTGAATGGGTCAGTGCCATTTCTTGGATGCCCTCAGTCTGAGCACATACTGGTTTATGTTGTCAGAGCTTTTCAGAATTGCTTGTGTATGTCCCATTCCTCTTAGTGTTATACTCATCCCCCTAATATGGTAATTGTTGCTGTGTTACACGGTCATCATCTTCGGAGCAGGGGATAAAGCTTTGCTACCCACTCTTCAGTTCTGTTTTCCGTTTTGTTAATGGAGTCAGACTCCTGTTTCCATTCTGAAAAGGTCAGACTAGGTTTTTTGTAGAATATCCCCATGTTCTTTGCAGCTTGTAGGCCTTTAAAGACTGCAGCACTTTTCCAAACAGGATCATAATGAACATGACAGAAGAATTTCTGTGTATCCACTTTAAGAGCTCTTGCCTACTTACTTTCTGTTTATTTCTGGGTGGTGGGAATGCCCGCCAGCATCTCTTGGTCTAGGATTTATCTTTACATGTGGAAACTTGGCTAGGAACTCACCAGTGGTTTTGAACTGCTCGCTGTGATAGAATCAGTGTGTTAGAAAACTGTTACAAAAGAAGTGTTGTTCGGTGTTCGCTGTGTAACGGAGCTGGGCTGTAAGAGCCAGTTTTGTTGAAATGGTCTGTTTCTGTTGTGTTGGGCTCGGGTTTTACCGCCTTCCCGGGACCCACGAGGTGACACTGAGAGAGCTCACGCTGGTGCCTGGAGACGCTGCACTCGGGCTTCGCCAGTGCTGGAACATTCAGACTTTGCTTTCCAGCTCTGCTGGCACCTGAGGTGTGGATTATGTGACTCTAAGTCGCGGAGGCATGTAAATTCTGTTTTAAACTCAATTTAAATCAGTCGGTTGGTCAGAGCAGAAAGTGTAAATAAAATGTGCTTGTACGCAATACAAATTTACTGCTTTTTCCCATAAGGCTTTATGGTGTGTGAGGCTGCAGCGTTCAGCCACAGAAGTGATGCTGAGGTAAAATCTCTTACTTTAAGTGAACCCAGATATAAAAGTATCAATGATTACATCTCACAAATCAATGTGTTAAATTTTTATATGAATATTTGAATTCTTTTTATACAGTGGCAGATTACCGGTGAAAGTGAGTGTCTTTTGGATGCATTGGTCTTGCAAGGTCAAAACTACGAAATATAGAATACTCTTTTTAGTACACTAGCTCAGAACAATATAAGGCCCACTTTATGGTGGGGAAATGACAAAATAATGTTTGTAAGGAGTATAAATAGGAATTCTCAGGAATTTCTTTCTCCATAACAGATTCTCAAAAACTGAGAAAACGTAATAAAAAATGGCAATCAGTGTGGTTTTATTAATTCCCAAATATTTTCTTTTAATGCCACTAAAAGATGTCCCCACACCTTGGACATAACTTTTCTGAAAGCTCGGTTGTGAAGCTCAGTTATAGGTTAGTGAAATGTGAACAAAATACCAATATAGATTAACATGTGATGAGTCCAGTAGAATAACTTTTTGAAAGGTCAGTAGGATACAGCCGAGAATGGAAGGGTAGGGTTTCATCTCTAATACAGTTTCTGATTTTTGTGGTTTGAAGAAAAAGCCGTTTCTGTAAGTTTGCAATGTGACGTCAGTATAGCAGGGCTGCTGAGGTTCCGAGATATTTCTGAAGAAAAAACCCCATTATAAATTGCAATTAGTAACTCTGGCTTATGCCTGGAAAAGGAATTCATATATGTCTTAAATTTCTTGTGATTTTGTGTGTGCTTTGCAGTGTCTTATGCATGGCAATTTTTATATTTTCTCTGTAAATGAATAACAATTAAAAATACCATTAAGTTTCCAGGCTTGCTGAAGGAATTACCCGGAATAGATTTGAGGAGTTAACAAAAATTTTCTACTTACAGAGTCTGTTTTTCCATCACCTAATGTAAGTATTCAACATACTTACTCAGGAGTGAGAATCACACACAGCACTTCCAGTGGTTGTTTCATCTTTGCTGTACTTACACCTCAGCAAAAGGACGGTGATAATCTGCAGGAGTATTTCTGGGAATTCTGTGGATGCTTAGCCAATGGATGTCTATTTGTATTTAGTGCACCAATCTCGTACTGTCAGAAAAATAGCTGTCATTTGTGCAATCCGTATGTTTCTTTTTTCCAGGTATACGATATTTGCAAGCAACACTTCATCCTTGCAAATCACGCAGTTGGCCAACTCAACCACCAGACAGGACCGATTTGGTGGTCTCCATTTCTTCAATCCTGTGCCTATGATGAAGCTTGTGGAGGTAAGTGTCTTACAACATCATCATAATAACCACTGTAGCACAGCAATGCAATTGTCATCACTGAGAATTCAGTTAGATGAAAGCGTAGATCGCAGTTTGCAGCTCTTCTGATATGGAATAAGCCACCTCTGGTGCTAGGAGGGTGGTGCAATCTCTTGCGGGGCAGGTTGAAGAGACAGAGGTGACTCCTTCAGTCTTCGATGCTCCGAAGTTCTCCACTGATCTGCCAACAGAGGCGCCGTTTATAGCAATCACTTCAGGCACGCAGGCAAGCTGATTAATAAGAACTACTGACAGCTGAAACAAAATCGTCCGGTGACTGACAGAGGAATTTGATTGTTACCAGCATAGAAATCAATAGAAAAGGACGTGAGGTGAAATCTTACTGCCTTGTGACTTTTGCAACAAAGTCAGTCATGCTTATTTTAACGTTCCAGATGATTTGTCTGGAATTGTTACAGTATTTCCCAGCCTTTAAAGAAGTGCGAAAAGAAGTTTTTACGTAGCTCTTCAGATGTCTTTTGTCAACATACTCTTTTCGACTACATGATGCAATTTCTGATAATGCTGCAGTGCAGAGCAGAATAAGAAATAATCTGATGTAAGAGTTTGTCTGAACCTCCAAAGTAAAGGTCAAATTGCAGAAAAAACAACAGGTCTCTGTTCTCCTTTTTCTCACCTTCCCCCATTATGGCTGATCTTGATCAGCTAAAACTTACAAACTCTTGAGTAAGTGAAAATAAACTTTGCATTTTGGCCGCTCTGTGCCATAGTTTCATGTACTTTGTGCCCTTACGTGCTGTAAATCTTTGCTCTCTCGCTTGAATGATTGGTTCTAGTACTGGTTTGATGACAAGCACTTCGAATATATTGTACCTGCCTTTTGAACTCCTGAGATTCACTTTATTACATTTTTTGCTTGTTTCCCATTAAAATACGTATTATGCAGTTGCTTGCTGTGTGTCTTTGCATGTATCATTCTCTTCCTCCTCCTTTTGAAATGTTTGAACCTTTTGGCTGAAATGAACAAATTTGATTCAGAGCCTGGTTGTCTGATGAGGGCTCAGACACTTGTAAATTCTCTCTCAATGACTTCTATACCCATGTAGATTTTTTTTTTTTTTAGTTTAATACTGCATTCTGTATGTTGTGACTAAATGCTCTGGGTTTCAAAGGTGGAAGGGAAGGAATTTTTTAGGTGTTGTCAGAGATAACAGAAATGTTTAACATAATTCCTTAGGCTAACATAGGCTATCTTGATTTCTGTGCTAAGAACTACTTGTTGGCAGTAATTTATTTCTATGGATGAAATGTTCTGTGCCTTGTCTCAAGCCTAAAATAAATCATAGTCTTTAGATGTTTGAGCCTCTGAGATTTGAAAAATACAGAAGATACCTATGATCATTTGTTAAAAACAAAACAGAACAAGCCCTGTCTGACTGCTGTGGTCAATCTCTATAGTTTCTGGTTTTTTTCACCTTATGTCACTCCAGTTGATGAGTAGTATCTGAAGAACTTTAAAACCAGAAGCTGTGCTTTTAGTAACTTCATCTTGAAAGGCACTAATATTAGTAAATAAATACACTTTTTAAAGCTTTGCTTTTGTTTCAGATCTACTGCTGTAAGTCAGGATTGGCATTGACAAACACTGTAGAACAACATTTTCTGTGTAAAACAGATGTTTCAGTTTGAAATAACTGGGGGGGAGAAATGAAGAGAATAGCCAAAACCATGAAAGATATTACTGAAATTGCCAGTCATCTGTCATGGAAGCTGTCCTTCATGGGTCACAAATCTGCGGTGCCTTTGAGTCTTCTCTGTGCTTTTCGTAGATTGTTGATCTCATGCTCAGAAGCACATAGTTTTGAGGGGATTTCTTTCCCTTTTTTTTCCCTAATAATCCAAAAGGCTAGTGCTAATGTTGTCCCATGTTGTGGGACAACACTAATGTTTCAGAATTCTGCAGTGTATATTAAAAACTCATTCCTGAAACTGTTGCGGTCTTGTGTAAGTATCTCAGATATTTTTATCTAATAAAGTAAAATAACACTATTTTTTCTGCTGAGAAACAAGCCTTTTCCTCAGTCCTAACAGTGTTTTTTTGTGTTGGCGTTACATCAGTCATTAGGATGGGAGGAAATCTCTGTGTGACTTAATTGTATGAACAAGGAGGTCAGCCTGAACTACTTAAGTATAGTAATTTTCAGTTACTGCACATGGAGGTCAATTTCAACACAAATATCACTACCAGTTCAGCTTCTGCAAGTGTTTTTTTTTTCCTTCTTGTTTTTGGGGTGGGAGGGGTAGGTCTCTAACAAATGGCTTAATGCATCCCAACTCCAGCTAAGTATAGGAAATGCTACATGTGACGAAAGACTCAGTTGTGAAGAAAATCAACATGGAAACGTACTACTGAAAAGCTAAGAGGCTGTGACAGATTTGAAAGATAGATTTTAAATTTTCTTTAGAATTAAATGTCTGTGTTGTGTTTACACTGGGCACAGGATAGATGTTACAACCCTTTATATCAGGAACTGTTTGTTAATGTGGTTCTCTGGAGTGATGCCATTGTGTTTCCCAAGGCAACAGAGACTATGTAGCTTTTAAAGTTGTTCTGTTACACTGTAATCACTAAAAGTGATTCCAAATGATGGTGGCTTTTACCATCCCTACTGGCTGAGTGGGAAAGTGTCTTAAAGAAACACATAATTTCAAAATGTGCAAAATGCTGTGTCTATCTTTAAAATAGATTTATGTGTCCATTACATATATATCCACTGAAACAGTTTTCTGTAAAACAAATGTTTTGTGAATTTCAGGAATAGTGTTCTGGATTACAGATTAATCATTACTGTACTGGGAAAGGAGAGAGATTCTGCTCATAAATGTGCTTATGCTCTCCCTACCTTCCATCTGCTCAGGTCATCAAGACTCCAATGACCAGCCAAAAGACTTTTGAATCGCTTCTGGATTTCAGTAAAGCAGTAGGAAAGAGTCCTGTCAGTTGTAAGGTGAGTACATTTTGATTGAATAGCGTTCAGAAGGTCTGTTTTTGAAAACTGTCAATTTTAAGGTGGTAGGTTTTAGCAGATGTAAGAGCACTCAAGAATTTCCAGGCTGCATTTTGTGCAGTCTCTCTTGCCTATTAAAAGAATTTTGACAAAGAAAGCACCCACATTTACCACAAATTCCTCAAAGTAGAGTGACTCTAGACATCTTGTCTAGAGCAGCAGCAAAACTCACAACTATCAGAGTTTACAGTTTTTGGTTTTTCTTTTCCAGTCCTGCAGAAGCCTGGACTGGAGAGCTTAAACAGGAGCTCATCTTTAGCCATGCTAGAGACAAGACTGCTACCTCTTGTACTGTGAGGCAGTTGGATGGATCCTCCATGGTCTGTGCTCATTGCAAGTTTTTCTTAAGACTGCAGTAACTAGAGCCATATTAATCTTCATTGCTTCGCAGCTTTGTTTTTTTTCTCTAGAGGAACACCCTGCTTCCTAAGCACACTTTTTCTCAATCCGTTAAGTTGTAGTCTGGGTAGCTTTATGCAGGCTGTTGCCTGGAGTTTCACGTCCCTCAGGAGACATTTGGTCAAAAAAAGAAGGGCCTGCAGTCCGGTACTTACCAGTAATTCAGCACCTGGATGCTGGACTCTAATTCTGGCTGTACTGCTAAATCACTCTGTGGCCTCAGTTGACTTTTGTCCTGTTTCTGTCATAGTTTTGCAGTATGTAATGTGCAGAGTATATGATGAATTATTTTCCTGTGGTCGGAAGGGTAGGTGCTAGAGGATGTAGGTACTAGCAAAGGGTCTCCATGTCTGACCATTGGTTTTGGTTTTTTTTTAATTCCTGTTTGTAGAAAAAAAGTTACTCAGAATTCTCTGGGTTAAATATTGAGATAAATGGAATGAACAATAAACGTCTGAAACAATAGTAGTGTACGAAATAGTACTATATTTGCAAAGCTCTTTCTCTTTTCTTTGTATTTTTGATTTTGATTAAAGCTCGTGTAAAAGAAGCTCTGTTTCAGTTTATCTTCTTCTGACAGCATGTATCTTATCTTTTCATGGATAGCATTGGTGTTTGCTGTTGAAGTGATCCCAGCTTTCAAAAGCATGGTTTACCAGTGAGCAGCTGGGAAGAAGTAGACTAGCCGGGAGTTTCTAGTAGTGAACACACAAAAAAATCTGTTAGGGAAGAACTGCTCTTCTCATATCCTTCAGGAAATTGTATCAGCAGAATTTTACTAAAGAAAAGCCGTTTGCCAACTGGCCACATCAAATTGTTTCAAGATTAATTGAACTGGGCTTGTAGTAGTCTCATTGTTCTCAAGCATGATGAATGTTTATGTGCCATTCCTTGTTTGTGAAATTCATCTTTTGTGTTTTAATACTGAGCAGATAGATCAGATGAAAAACACAGTTTAGAGAGTACCAGAAGTTTATGATCCAATAAATGTCTTCATCCACTTGTTTAATTTAACAAGTAGCATTTGAATATAGTACTGGTAAAGAATGTTTATTTAGAATCCCTTTTTTGCTTTTCATAGGATACTCCAGGGTTCATTGTAAACCGTCTCTTGGTGCCATATATGATGGAAGCTGTTCGACTTTTTGAGAGAGGTACTTGTTGGGACATTGACTTCAGGGAATGTTGACATATAACACTGCTAAATGTTATACTCCTTCAGAAGAGCTTTGGGATTCCCTCATAACTTTGAGACCTTAAAGACTGGAAGTGAATAGTGAAATTCAAATATGAGCCAATATATGTAGTTGGAAGGACCTGGTCTTCACTTTGAAATGTTAGTGTATACAGAGTCGGAAGCTACTAATTACTTGTGTGGGAAATTTCTCATGATGGAAAATGTTCTGGTTTGGAGATGACAGGGTGAGCGTAGTGCCATTGTAAAAATACCCTCTGCCAACTAATCAGGAACCTCCCTGTCTCCATCCCAAGAGAAGTTAATGAAAGTGATTGAAAATCCTGTAATGGGACCATTAGCAAGTTCTGAGTTCACTTCTAATGTAGTGGATAAAGAGGAAACTAGAGAGTATAATTGTTTTTATTTCAAGTGCTCTGCTCATAGCTCTGTCCTACTAAGAATGTCATTTGAAACATTTTGTTTTTGAAATCACTGCTTTTTTACAGATGAAAGCACTCCATTATCAGGATTCCACCAAATATGCTTTAAATATTAAAAATCTCTTTTACAGCACATGGAAGTGATGGTTTGATCTCCAGAAAAAAAAAACTAAACCAACACTACTTGTTTATCCATCAACAGATGTACCTAATTACATCTCAAAGGGAGAAAAGAGCAAATTTGGTGACTTGAAAGGCAAAGGCATGGTTGCAAGGGAGCATTATTCTCTTAGAAAAACTCACAATTTTAAATAAAGTGTATGGGTGTTCCAGTGTGTGTAAAAGAGGTGCCTTTGTGAAGTGACATGTATCATTATACATATTTCAGGAGACAATACAAGTTTAATGAAGTGTATAAGAAAATAGTCACTGAGATTGACTGTCTTCTGCCTAAGCAAAACAATATTTTGATTTAATCCTTATTATGTTTGCATTTTGTTCAACAGTGTGATATTTCCAAACTCGTTAAAGTTCATTTATGAATTTTTAACTCTAATGAAATCTATTTAAAAAGCTGGCTTATGTTTTGAAAAGCCTGGTGGCTGTCTTCTAATTCGTATTTTCCATTGAATCAGGTTAAATTTTTATCGTATCCTTTGCATTAATTCTCAGTAGACACTTGAGACAGATTGTCATCCACATTAGTATGAAATTGGGTCTCTTTCCTGGCAACCCCAAGCACTGAAAAACCATTTTATTGGGTCAGTCCTTGAGTCCTCATTTATACAAAATCTCATTGGGTTAAATGTGTGCTTTTGCATAGGCAGTGATTTAAACAGGGGGCATATTATAAATATTAATGTATGGTGGTCTGTACTGCCCTATTCTTAGTGGAAAACAAAAAAGCAGTCAGTTAAGTTTCCATGGAAGTGTGCTTCATACTAGAAGACTACTATGAACTATGGGTACAACCTTGTTTGCTCTTTTACTGCTTTTAATTGTGTTGTAATGCAACTGTATGCTGCCAGGTGGCCAAGTCCCAAGTTTGACAAACAAAGCGGGACAAATCTGTTGATAAAAGAAGTATGTACATCTGCATCAACTTCAGATGAGCTGAAGATTTATGTGTGTTTGAATCTGGGGAACTGAAATTATGTTAGAATTAAGTAAGGCTAATTTTCCCAGTTTCTCAGAAATAGTGTGGTTTAAAAAAATAAATTGTTAGCTTTAAAGAGTAAAAGGAGATATATATCAAGTATTACTTCATACAGAACTTTCACTAAAGTTGTTGCCTTTACAAGAGATTTTGAAAATTCATATCTAAAATTCTCTGATCTTAGGTGCATAAATTACATAGGCTATGTCTGCCAAACTCTTGGACACCCTGAATGCCTGTACGCACATTGAGCATTGAGGTTACTTAACAAGTACCTCTGGGGTTTGTTTAATTTCATTCTTTTTATAGGATCTGCAAAGAAGTGCACTGCCTTTATCAAAATATGTATTAGAAATAAGCAGTAGAGGTGCATCTGCTTTCATGACAGTATAAAATATGCATTCTCAGAAAAGAATGAAGTGAATATTAACTCTGACAGTGTGGCCAGGCAGGATTTGTATTTTTGTAGGCACAGACTGAAGCAGAAGTAACACATTTCTGATAATTGTGAATATTTTTTTAGAAATAATTTTGGAATTCACAAATTCATCTGCACTTGCACAGTCTCTTCAGGTCACTCCTGTCTGCTATATCTGATGCTGATGGGTATCCTCCACTGAAAGTTACTGTAACTAAGCATGTCACTCAGCTGCTCCTGCTCCCAGCCCCGTGCCTGCCTTGTCCATCAGCTGGGTGTTCCTTGCCTGCTGGCTGTTCTAGAGTAAGGGTAGCTCTGTCCTCTGCATCATTCAAAAGCTGCTGCTGATCTCATGAAGCTGAAATTGAGATCTTTCCTTATTTGCACTATTCAGCTGCCCCTAGAAGAAGCTCTTGGTTCTTCACAGTGACGAGATCATCCTCTAGTCTTTCTGATAGGTTGAGCACAATAGCTATGGCTCCATCAGTAGCGTAGTGATTTATATTGAAATGCAAGAGGAAGCTAGAAAAATGGAAAGCAGGCCTGCTGGGCTTTTTTTGTGTGTGTGTGTGTGTGAGAGATTCAGCTTTATACTCCGGTATGTGTATGCTGACTCCACTTTTTGTGGTTCTGAAACGTGCAGAGATTTCTGTGAAGAGCTGCACCAGGGTGAAATAACACCCTGTTAATTATTTATAAGTGGTGCCGAGTAGATGCGGAATCTTCTCTGCTCATGAAACTGTCAATCTTTTCTCTAGGAGATGCATCAAAGGAAGATATTGATGTTGCTATGAAGCTTGGGGCTGGCTATCCCATGGGTCCATTTGAACTGCTGGACTATGTTGGGTTGGATACCAGTAAATATATTGTAGATGGTACTGCATGCTTATTTTATTCTATTTTTCCCCTTTTTAGCTAAATTGTAGATGAATGTTCTAATGAAAATTTGACTCTTAATTAGTTTAAACTGAATGTTTATGGCATAGCCTGTTAACTGTTGAGGAGAAAGGAATGAGAATTCAGCTCAGAATGCTATATGAGTACAGCATTTGTACTGTATGCCTGTACCCTGTGTACGTGGGGACAGAACAGTGCTGGTTTTGCTGACTTCATCAAGTTCCAATGGAAAGTAATATCAGTGGAACTTCATATAACTAAAAGAATCAACGGGAAGAAAGACATATGCTGGAGGTAAGAAATTCTGATGAAAAACAAGAAATGTTGAGACCCTGTCCTTTTTCTGCCAGCCATGATTTCATTCTCAGTTAATAGGAAACCCAGTAAATACCTTAAAAGATGCAAGTATACCATCTCCCTTTCACTTCAGCTGATAAGTAGATGAATGTCAACACAATAACAAAAAAAGACATAATTAATGAAAACTTGTTGATGATTGTGTTATTTTGAATGAACAGCTTAAATATTCTCTGAGGCAGATTGTCACTTGCAAAATCACATCTTCAATGAAACCACTTTTGCTTTTAGCCAGTACTGTGGAGTGGTGTTCTAACTGACCATGTCTTTGGCAGGTATAAATTCGGCTTCGAATTTCTTTCCACTTGAATTACTTTTCATCATAGCCTTTGTTTTATTTCCTTGTACATAACTATATTTTAAAAGTTCTCCTTCGTTTTTTTTATCATATTAAAAATCCTCGGTCATGGAGTTTATAAGGTGTTCAGAGGAGACTACGCCTAAAGACTAATTGCTAGATTTGCTCGTGATCATCAGTACTGATTTGTGTTTCATGAAGCCATATTGAAGGGTCTCAGAGAGTCCAGAATAAGTTCCAAACCTCCTTCAGTTTTCTGGCCTCTTAATATTTTCCTGAGGAGGTGCAGATCTCTATTATCTTTGCATATACACAGAACTGTTACTAATTCATCCCATTCTTTTCTTCCACCAGGATGGCATTCATTAGAGCCTGACAATCCTCTTTTTGCACCCAGCCCACTCCTGAATAAACTAGTAGAAGAGAAGAAGCTGGGTAGGAAGACTGGAGAAGGATTTTACAACTACAAATGAACTCCAAACCTCAAGAGGTGTTAAACTATCTGTGTATGCTATTCAGCATTGCCTTATTACAGGTGAATTCTGTTTGAACCTTCCAAAGGATGGCACAAGCTGCATTTAGAACATAACCCACCTCTGAACGGAGTGATTGCACTAGTTAACTATTTCTCTGCTGAAAGCTTGATTTGGTAGATTATTTTTCTTGTAATCTGAGTAGCTTTATATGTACAGTGCCTTCATGCAGGTGTTGATTTTTAAGGTGCAGGACAGAATGACAATTGAATTTATGTATTTGAAGCATTATTATATTAATGGGAAAAATCCTAAAAATAACCGCACTTTCTTAAAAATAAAATTTTAAACAACTCTGTATTGAATGTGATGGCTTGCAGTTGATGTACTGGGTTGTAGTCCACTGGGTGGCAGTCTCTTTTCACTCCGGCAGATGTAGCGACGGAAAGGCAGTAAGTTTTTTTGTTAGGATTTTTCTTAAATGCGGTGCTAATCTATAGGTGTAAATTACAGTGCCTTGAAAAATAATTTTTGAATGTCATACCGTTTAAAAATAAAAGTCCTGCAATGGCAGGCTGTCACCTGGACAGAAGGTTCCCAGTACAGCATTTAAAAGCAGAACTCATGATTTGTGTTGGGGTTTTCTGGCATTTTCAGTTACTGGCTGAGGGTCTGCTATTGGTAGGTGCTGTAGAAACAGAATGAAGAGGTGGTTTCGATTCTGAAGGGCCTGATACATAGATTTGTTTTTATTAACTAAGCTAGTAAGCTGGTGAAAGCTTCAGTATGCTTTCTAGGGTCCTGTAAATTGGCTCTATTTACTGGCTATTCATTTAAAGTGTCATTTTTACACATTATTACTGTAGTTGAGGACTTTGGGGGATTAGAGTCTGTGCTGTGTAAACAAATAGGTGTGCCTGACTGTGAGGCACCTTCTGTTTTGCAACTTTACTTCCTTGGAGCTTAGCAGAGCCTGGATTTGTTCATGCCGGGAGTGCTACAAATCCTACCTTTTCCCCAAATACTGCAGAGCATGTGGGCATGAGAGTTGGAGTTCCCATTCAGCTGAGTAGTAGCCTTCTTTTACTTTGCATATTTTGGATCTGCAAACTGAGTGCTTATATATATTTTTTAATTAAAGAAATTATGAATAATTGTTTAACTCTAAGTTGCCTCTTCCTCTGTTGCCTAACATCTAATTCAGATTGCATGTAAAGAAACTGAGGCTGACAGATGTTAATTTCCTTGCACACGATCACACAAGAAATCTCAGAGTAGAGAACAAAAACTGTTGGTTTATTGGGTCTTGGTTCCTCATTACAGGTCTTCTGTTTTTGAGACGCTTGTCTTGAAAGAAGAGGGTTTAAGGAAAGAAATGGTACTGTAGACAGATTTTCCTTGACTAATATATTGTTAAATTTAATTGAAAATACAGTCCACTTCTTGCACCTGAAGTCTGTTTCACTTGAAGGTTCTTAGTGCCTGTAGTTCAGTTTAGTGACTTTTAAGTGCTGCAGGGTGAAGTTAGCTTCAGAACTACTGTTTTCAGTAGTAATTAAAAATAGAAACATGTATGTTACTGTTGAGTCTTAAAAATTGCTGTTTGGTTTTTACAAAAACATTTGTGCAGAGTTGACTTGATGCTGCTCTCTTTACTTGGAAGATCGTCTTTATTTTTAATTTGGAAATGCTTAGGTTTATAGCAAGGCATAGGCTACTTAATAATAAAAGTGCAAAATATTTTTCACTATTAAGTGTGATATTTTAGAAAAAAATACTTTCTCTAAAACAGTGTTTTCCTTTCAGGAGCTCTAACAGGTACGGTATGTGTGTATGTAATAGGTACAAGAAACCTGAAAGAGGCATTTGTAAGTTTGTCTTGCTCTTTCAGAAGAGACTTCTTTTTCTCAGTAGCACATAACGCCATGCGGAGGTACTTTACTGGTGTGTGGGATGGTTTATTTTATCAGCATGTGGAGTACTATGCCAGGACGAGCAGAGATGAGGTAAAGGGCCAAAACTTCAAATACTGTCCTTTAAATGTAAACCAGAATGCACAGTGGTAATTGAGTGAGTGAGGCCACTGAGTCAAGGTAAGCCTTTTCTTTTGCTCCTCAGTGAGGAGGTGTGGAGGATGTAGAAGTCCCTTCTTGGGTTCAAGATCATGATGAAATTGGTCAGGAGTAGGATATTAAGTAGTCACTCCTGATTTGTACAAGAATTTCTGCAGCTTTGACAGCTTAAAGATGTCTAGGAGGCTTAAAGAATGAGTAATGAAGGAAAGGAATTGTCTGTCTGCACTTTTCCCTCAATAAATATTATTTCCCAGCCCTTGCTATGCCTGTGACTTTATGCGGGGTGGCATGAGCCACCTTCCACTGCATGTAGTGTTGACGAGTGAGGGGGAATTGTGCCAGTCAGTACCTCAGACTATGACATGGTACATTAGACCTGCTCTCACCTGTCGGCTCTTCCTGAATCTTTATCAAATGGGGAAAAGAGACTGTGGAAAAAAATGAGGGCTAGAAGAGAAAGGAGGAAGGGTGTTTGATTTCCTTCACTGCCTACTGTTAAAACCTTTAGTCTTCGTTATCCTTTCTGTCAGCAGGCCTCACAGAGCGTTTGCCCCACTTCAGTCAAAGCTTTGGGATGTGTGCTTGGCACAGCTTGGAGTGAGCTTGACAGCCAACAGCTGAGGAGTCGGATGTGAGCCCAGCTCCTGCAGCTGGGAAGATGGCTCCAGATTCAGCATCTGGGTCATTTTGACTGCCAAACATGCTCCATCTATGGTCATCCTAGCTGCTGACGCGGCTGGGGAGAAGACAGGAGCACAGCAAACTTTACAGAGGGAGCTGAAAGCAGAATCTTAATTGGACTGGAGGAGGATGCTCTGCAGGAGTGGCTTATGGAGTGCAAAGTGCAAGAGGTGGCAATAAAGTTTGATCCGAAGAGGAATTAAGTGTGTAGAAGTTAAAATTCAGCTTTGCTCTAACAAATGAAGTATTCTCCATTAATGGCACTGAGCACAATAATACTTTTATGTGGGTCAATAGTAACAGCTGCCTGTGTGTTGAATGCAGATGTCCCGAAGTTCTAAATCTGCAACTGTGTTTGCAAAAGTCATTGAGCTTTCCCAATATCTTACTGTAGGAGATTAATTTCCTTGGAAGATATGGATATCAACTTGCAGTATGGATTTAAATGGAGAGTGGAGTTTATTGCTTCCTTCTTCCTTCATTGTGAGGACTTGCAGAACATCACCTTGGTAGGAACTTAGTTGAAAAAGAAGCATTTTCGAAGAATTTAATGTATGTTTGTTGTCTGTTGATAAAGTTTAACCCCTGGAAATGAGCAGCTGCCTTGAACTGTCCAGATGGGAGTCCTGGGAACCTATGCCTTATTTTACACAGTAGGAAGAAGGGTCAACTGAGCAACTGCATAAAACACCTTGAAAAAGTTTCTTTTTTCTTTCTTAGGCAAGTTGTACTTTTCCCCCAAACCATCTGACCCAAGGGTTTTGAAGTAACAATGCGAATGTCCTTCAGAAAATGGCAGGCTACTGACAAGACCAGAGTTAGCGCCAGCACCTAGCATGGGCTCTTCAGAGCCATGAGATCCACTGCTACCAGCCCAGTGCTCCAGCAGTGAATCAGGCCTCTGAAAAGCATGGTAGTGGCTTCAAAATGAGATTCAGTGTTTTGGTTTTGCTTTATTAATGCCATATTTGGTGGTTGTTCTCCCTATGTCTGTTCTGTTGATAAGGTTCTTATCACACATTCAGGTATCTGTGAAACTTTTGAAGTTTGTCAGTTGATCTCTTCTGTAGATCCACTTAACTAATTAGTGAATGTTTATCAGGCTGGAGAAGAAAATAACAAGAAACATGCTGTATAAATCTAAGTGTAGAGAGATGTGATTGTCTGGTTAAATCTGTACTTCTTATTAGAAAGAGAAGGGCATCTGAAAAAGAGGTATTTCCAGTTTGCCTGCCCAAATGGTGGTCTTGGTATGAAAAAGTCTTGTGTGTTCCTGACTTTGTAGCAGGCTTTGGTCAGTAAAGTCTGCAAATGAGTTAGGTGTTAGCTAACTCAATGTAACATACTCCTGTGGTCGGAAGGGTAGGTGCTAGAGGATGTAGGTACTAGCAAAGGGTCTCTGTTATGTTACTTGGTACTTTAATTGCAGTGCAGTAATGAGGGCTGATGGGTGTGTGCAGTGTAGTTGCATAGAGGTGGTGGGATTGCATTGTTCCTTAGGGGAAGAAAAAAAAAGAGTGTGATCAGCTGTGAGAAGGTACATGCTGTTTCTGCTGCTGCTTTGGGAAAGCATGTTTTAACTTTTTTTATTTAATGAAGAATTCTCCTTGCAGAGAGATTGGAGACCTTGTGTGAAACTACAGATGCTTGCTGTTCTCTAGTGAGTTCTTTGTATAAGCATCCGCTCTGTGGCATCATGAGATATGAAATGTTTTCTGCATCTCAGGAGTATTGCTCTTAAAGCCTGTGTCCATTTTCATAGCTATACAGCTGATGGTTATTGTAAATGTTCATACTACTAATTTTTACTAAGCTATCAAAACGTAACTGTCAAAGTTTAATGCATACTTGTTATTCTTCCATCTAGAGAAAGCCACTTTAGAGTACCAAGTGGCTTTAAAGGTGTGGGCAAACCAGAAGCAGTTTTCATAGTTTATAGTGACTAAAGTTCCCTAAAATTTTATTGTTGACAGTTTTGGAGTTAATTTTTTCAAGCGAGGCAGTAGTGTTCTTGCACCTGTAGCTATGGTGCTACATTCTTACTTTTCTAACTAGTACCACAGCAGTGACCCACATCTCAGTAGTTTTATTCACTACAGTTTTCAACCACGTGAGCAATTCTAAAACTGACCTGAATTATGCCTTTATTTCTCTGGGCTTTTTGCAAGAGCTGAGACCAGGAGCAAAGTCAGGTGCCATGATTTTTTTGAGAGCTAGATCTTTTCATGTCACATATTCCTTCAGTAGCTTTTCTTGTTGTTCACAGCCAGAGGGAAGTGCTTCTGCTGAATTCTGTTAGAGGAGGGTTAAGTAGAGCCACAACCCGGTAACTGTAAAGATGATTTGTGGAATGATCTGTCTTAAATTTTATGATCTTCTCAAAAGTTCACATTAAAATACCTTTTTATGTACCATTTGCTATCCAGTATACTTTTCCATTTATAAATGCAGTGCTATGCAGAGTCTTAAATTAAATGTATATGATCACAGAACAGTATGTAATGAGGTCGGGGGTCGTTACTGATAATATATTAATCAGATTTAGGTTTGTATGGCCATGGAGCAGCTTTGCTCTTGTTCAATTCACTGTTCTCTTTTATT